AAGAGGGGTAGCTAATGATTGGATGCCCTATTTTAACTTTGCTTGAGTTCTATTTGGTTTTAAAATTAGTGGAACTCTAAACATATAAATACTTTAGAAGAAAAAAATCTACTAAATATTAAGACAATTTGTTTAAGGTGGACATGTCTGGATCTAATTTTGCCAGTTGTATTAGAGGCATATAACATTTCAATGGACGTGCTAGATGTCTAACGAAGAATCTGCTAAATATTATGACAATTTGTATTTGTTCCTTATTCATCTTTTCTTTTATTCTCTACATGATGTGTGCATGTGTGCGAGTGTCTCATAGAGAAAGAGAGAGTGACTACTACAAACTTCTCTCCATTATTTTGGTCCTTCACTTACTCTCAATCCATGCTTGCAAAGAGATTATCTTCTTACAGAACTACTAGAAAAGCTTTCCAGTTAAAAGGATAGAGAATAACAACATTAAATGACACAAAAAAATCTAAGATAGGTCAGAATTCTTGAATTACAGCCACTGCTAAGCCAGCTTAATCTGGCTAGAAAAGGTAATTTTGTTCAAGTTATTGGTGCACAATTTTGTATGCTGATTGTTAGTATTGACCAAGCTAGGCTCTTCTGCCAGTAGCAGGAGCAAACATAAAGAGAACAACTAAAATACAAAAAGATGTCTCTGTGTCTTTTGTTATTTTGCATCATCTTAACTATTCATACAAAGAGACACAAGTGCTGCTAAACTTGAAACAAATAGCTTCAGCTAGAAATTTCTAACATCCGAGAAATGCCAATCTATAAATCTCTTAAGATTCCTGATAAGGTGCTTTGGGCATCATTACCAAATCAAGATGACCATAAAGGAAGATCGTCAACTTAATGGTGAACACACATTTATTACATTCTGTGTTAGAATTTACCACTCACCTACTACCTCCACTATTTTTCTCCACACCTACCACCTCCACTATCACACACTCCACTACCATCTTCTCCTCTATATATAGGAGTTGTAATATACAGAATATATCGATCTTGTAACACATCAATCAACTCATCAATCAATAATACATTTCTTTTTACAAAAACCAAAAAATTCAACATTAAAAAATTGATGTTAGAGAAATTGCAATTGGAAAGGAGATTATGCACAAGTCAAAGCTCAGAAAAGCAAAAATCTAATATAAAATGCACTTTTCAAATTGGTATCATTATCTAGAATCTTCTAGACATCAACCTCTGTGTTGTCATTATCTTTGGTTACTTCCCTTATAGAAGTGCCAAGAAAGAGAGTTTTGGAAGGCTACTCTAGCGGGCTTAAAGAGTTCTAGAGCAGCAAGGTGTTGTCTATGACCAAAAGATTGGTGCCAGTCTGCCAGAGCACTCAATTTAGCATTGTCTAGCACTCTAGCGTAAAGGAACATCCATGTAAAGAGTGCTTTAGTGGCTGTAACTAATAGACTAGCAACTCAATGATACCATAAATATTTTGATACCCAACTTCTCTCTACACCTACGTGTAGACACCCCATTTTTGACCGCCCTCAAGACTTGTGCACTTTGTCCTAAGCACTCAATGATGAAAATAGCATTGTGTGATTTGAATTCTCAACGAAGGAATCCAAGGTCGAGCTTTTAAAACAATCCCAAAACCTTCATATTTACCTTGTTCTTACCTCAAAGGTCTATTTTTAAACATTGTGCCACCCTACACTGAGCCTAAAACAGGGGAACACATTGAGGCCCGGTCATGCCTAATTGGGGGCCAGCCGTGGCTATTTGGAGCCGGCCGTGTCCTGTGGGCAATAAACACTATTCTGGGTGGAAGCCCGCTAGCTATCCATTTTTGAAGATATTTTCGACTTATTTTGCTCAAATTCTATAAATACAAGCTCTTAGCTCTATTTTGAGGGTTAAACAATTTCAAGAGAGCATATATACACACTTGAGAACCCCTTCTTCTTGTACAAGCCACCTTTGAGCAAACGTATCACTCTTGAAACATATCTATACACCACATACAACCTTAGAGCAAAGCCTTAGAGTCTTGGTTGAGGCTTGTGAATCACAATTCAAGCTTGAGAGTGTGCTTGGACTAAATTTGGCTCACAAAAAGAGCTTGTCCCCTTTAAAAAGTATAAGCTTACCACCTTTTCTTTTGATTTTATTTTTGTCTTTTGCTATCAATTTATTGTATCTTTGTGTTGTTTTGAATCCATTTCAAGTGTTGAAACTTGGGTTTGAATAGCTACCAAAGGTAGAAAGGTTTAACACCCTTTCTTGCACCTTACTTCATAGCTCAAACCCTTGTCTTCACACTCTTTTCTTTGGTCTTCAGACTGATTTTTAGAGTTCAAAAAAGGCTAAAAAACATGGTTTGAGGTCTCAAAAATAGAGGGGTTAGCTATCTCTCGTTGCTCTTGTTCACTAACCTTGTGATTCCTTATTATTTTCTATCTTTTTTTGTGTTCTTTAAACATCATTTTAGCCACTATTTTTTTCACATATTAGGGGTTGTTTTAAGGCTGTCCTAATTTATTTAATTAGTGTATGCTCGGAATACCTTTCTTCTTGTGTTGAAAGCCTTCATATCTTACATGTTGTGTTGTGTTGTGTTGTGTTTTTCATGTTTTGATTATCTTTTGGTAGCTTTTTTTCTTTGCTTGGTTTTCATGTCAAGAGTTTCATTCTAATAATCAACCTCGCAATCATTTATGCAACCTCCGTCTTTTTTTCTTTTCTTTTGTTTGAGAGTTATGTCAAAAGATTGATGGTTATTCAAAACATGGGAAAAAGACCTATGTTTAATGGCTTAATCTCTACGGAGGTTCATCGTCAATACATAATCTCTCTTTCATGCTTAGGATCACTTCTCGTTTGACATTTCTTTTCATCTAATGGAAAGGACTAAGAAAACTAGCTTAAAATTGGACCAACCAATATAAAGAAAATGAGTTAGATTGCTTGGGTTCAGCCAGACGTTATGCCGAATTCATCGTGTCAAGAGTCATCACACATCAATTCATGATATTTTGATGATTCTTGAAGCGTCTCTACTTCCCTCTTTGAGCTCACTTCATGATAGGAGGGAGGAGTGGTTGTTCATTACATTTATTGATTTTTGTCCAATTGTCTTCGAAATCATCAAGCAATCAACTTGTTTATTGATGGTTTTGGAACCAACTTTGTTCTTCTCTTGAGTCTCTCTATGACAGAAAAGAACAGAGCTCAGAAAGGCTTTGTCTGCACTGTTTTCACCTCAGAGCACAAAAACAAGGTTTTATATGAAAACAGGGCACAGGCGGCCTTGTTTGGACCCGGCCAGGCCTCATTAGGGGCCAGCCGAGCTCCAATGTTTGGTAGGCAGAATATTTTTGCAGAAACAGAGGGCAGTGGTTGAAGGTGAAACAGGACAGATTCCTACGAAGGCAAACAGAGTGGCTTCTGAAACTTGTCTTCTTTGATGTGCATGCATTGCTTTAATTCATTATTGTTATAATTAATTATTATTACCGTAATCATTATTGTTGTAAATTATTAGTGTTGTAATCAGTATTGTTATAGTAATAGTTTATTTGTAATTGTTATATCTAATTAAATTAGGTAGCTAGTTTATCACTCATTATTAGCCTTTGTTGTAATAACTTAGCTAGTTAGTTATTTATTCATTCATTTGGTTTTATAATAGTTAGTTTATTTCGGACACTTGGGCATTCATTCAGACCCTCTGAGGGCAAAATTGTAATAATCGTGTATGTCTTCCAACCCCCATTTCTTTTTCTCTTTTATTTACTTGCTTATGATGATAGCATAGAGCATCATGTTTCCTTAGCTTTTTTCATTATTTGTATCCACTCCTCTTGCATGCATAAGAGCTCGATTCATCATTCTAACAAAGCATTGTTATTGTTTAAATTCTTTGAATACGTGCTTAGACCGTATGCTATCAAATTGATTCAAATACCATGTTAGTAGCCGAGCCCATTAATTGCATAATTGCATGTGTTGCATTAATCATATTGCATTAGTTAGGATCATGCATTTTTTTCTAACTTTTTATCTTTTTGACTTGCCTCGGAGTACTAGGTGAACATTTAATTGCTTTAGCATACCGCATGCGTGTGATTGTTGCTATGTCATCAAAGCATGTTTCCATGAGACTAGGTGCTTAAGTGATATATCTGTTTGAATGACGGTGGATGAAGACTAATTGCTTAAATCGGAATAAATTTATTAACATACATACAAACTCACTTTTTTCAAGTGAAGCATATTCAAAACACTTTTCAAACAAATATGAAATCAAAGTGTTCCAATTTTTGCAAATTAGTTTATACTTGTGTGCATCATATAATAAGCTACCCTAATAATCGGAACAAGAGCATGTACTGTAAATAAGAATTACATCATGATTAGTAGAGGCAGATCTTTGATCGGGCGAATAGGGTGCTCAATTCATGACCTTCCCCTCTTGGACCTAAGTTTCCGAGCCGAAACACTTTGGTGATGACGGATAAGTGGCCTTTGACACAAGTCTCATGTTTCCTAAATTTTCTAAAAATATTTAGGTGGTGACTTTGAAATCTAGCAAAGCAATCTATTTTTGGCATATTGATTCAAAATCGATTTTTCAAAAGAATTGCCGAATTTGGACTCATTTGTGTTTGTTTATTTCACATTACACTTGTGGAATCAAATTCAGAACCACAGGAGTCCGAACTATAGGGCTAGTCGTATCTTAAAGGAGCACGAAAAGTCAATCTACACTGTGACGTATTAAACTCAATCTTTCTTGGACAATTATACATCCAACCATGTTCAAATGATGAAGATAATATAGTAACTTAAACAGCCATATATATTTTGAAAATGAAGGGTACTCAAACACAGAAGCAATTTCACTCTTAACAGGTATCAAACAATAGTATGTTGCACCAAATAGGTAAGGATATATCAAGTAGAATGTGATTTACATAAACATCTAGTCAAAATGAGAATGTAATTTCTTTTTGTTTTACTTTTTTTGTGTGGCAAAAATTCAAAATGAAAATAAAATTAGAGAGCAAAATTGAAGTAGTCTTACAACACCAGACTTCAAAGCAGATATCTGGGGTCCTTTAGAAGTTCCTCCATATAAACAAACTGACTGCAAGCCACAAGGTTTCCCAGCATCACAAAGAACGTCTGAAATCTGCCACCAGCACGAAATGTCAGTGTTTAGCCACTTCTTCAACTAATAAATACCACTAAATCAAGTGAGCATTTTGCATGTAAGGTAGAGCTATTGATAACAAATATATATACACAAAAATAATACAAGGTCACTGTCACATTGATCCATTCGGTTCTTGATTTCTATCTCTAGCTAATTTCCTTCTGTAGTTAAAACTCTTCTAAGTGCAACTTCCTCCGTCAGTTCAGTGTCATATAAAGAAACTGATTTAGTCACTACATCCACCCCATGAACTTCACAAAACCATACAATAAAAAATTAAAAAAAAAGGCCAATTAGTACACATTAATGTGTGTTTGGGAGGGGAAAGATTGAGTACACATCTAACCTTTGACATAATGCATAAAATGATGGTCCCAAGACTTGAACCTATAACCTCAAGGTTATTAGGTCAAATCTTAACCATTGAACCAATGGTCTCCACTTCACAGAAGCATACAATATCTTAAAAAAATAAAAGAATAAGAATTGTACAAGAAGTACATAGAGGGTAAAAAAAAATGGAACCAAACATTTCCAATAATGAGTGAAAATCCCCCAGAAGAAGACCCAAAAAAAAAAAAAAAACATTTAAGCAGTCATGCCTTGCAAAGGAATTCTAACACTCACAACTGATTGTCTTCAGTAGGTCATATGTACTTATTCTTTTTTAACCACTCAAAGTTGTGATACCAATCAATCCCTTTAATATATTTCCCTTTTTTCTCATAGGCAAGGAGAGGTGTTCAGCCCTCACAACAAAAGTGTGACCACTGAACAACTCCAAGGTTTCACAGTTTCACTTGCCTCTGAGTGGTACTAATAATTCCTTTAACATGCCTCTATTCTCTCATATCACAGGAAAGCAGGTGAACAAGGTATGACCCTCGAAAGAAAACATTAACCGTTAGGCAGCCAAAATACAAAATACAAAACACTGGTAAGTGTTTTGACCACCATTTTTAGGTTTTTTTATCAACTCTTTCGTACAAGTAGAGTAGGTCCCTTTCTTCTTTATGATTATTACTAATCAAGTATTATGTCCTCTTTAAAGCGTTCCCAAATTACAATTTTTTTGGCAAAATCATGGCATACAAGCAAGAAAACCAAAAAAAGCAGAAAAAGTACTTTTTTATCTTAGAAAACCCATTTTTACATACAATAAGTGAGTTGTATCTGCCAAATTTAAGACAATTCAGAAAGATGAACACATACTTGTTGCGCCAGCTCTCTTGTTGGTGAAAGTACAAGGCAAAGTGGATTCACTCTCTTGGACGTTTTATTCTGGCGCTTCTGCAAAACATGCATAATAGCTGGAACCCCAAAGGCCAGTGTCTTACCTGATCACAAAAATCGTTATACTTAACATCACATATAACAAGATTTGTACTTGGCAAGTTGGCATTACAGATCAATCAACAAAAAACACCAT